AAAATCCTCAACCAGTGCAAAAATTCAGAGCCAAGCACACAAAATTCATTTACTTCTTGGGAGAACATTGGATTTGTTAACTTAGAAGAGTTCTTCAATCTAAATTCTGACTGTTTGGATTGTGTCCATTTGTAATCTATAAGTGCCAGCTTCAAGATCATTTCATGGCAAAGAAACGGTTTATTGGTAATATCCTTTAAAAATGCTGTCCCATGGCTTTTCAAAGCTTTTAGGACTACACAGCCAATTCATTTCTTTTAATTTACTTTCTTAGACAGATTTTGGGAAACAATTGAGTGAAAACCCGTTTTGGAACCAACTGTAACTTTATGATCTCAAATTTATCAGCAAGGATATACCTTGAGATATAATGGCAAAGCTCATTGAAACACTTTGCAGGGAAAAAAATGCACAGATTATAAGCAATTCTCACACTTCTTGACTTAAGCAACGCATCCATTTCATCCTCTTGTGAGGTTTTCTTGTAGCAAGTCTCGGTTGGAGAGATGGTCGGGTGCTTCAGGGAAGGGATTGTAAGTGAGAAATTTCATATTCGAATCCTTCCACTTACACTTAAAAAAAAAAAAAAAGAAGTCAGTTTCGGCATAATAGAAATGATAAGGAAAAATTATCGAATTGGTCCTTCACATTTTGAAGAAATGCTTTTTAGTTTCTCACATTTAAAATAAGTCAAAATAGTCCCTAAGCTATCAAAATTTTGCGTATTTGGTTACAAAACTCATTTTACTCAGTTTTCCGGCCAAAAAACTTACGCCTACCTCATAAGTCCATAATTTCAAGGCCAAAATGGGTACAAAATTTGTTTCCGTTTTTTCAACAAAAAAAAAAAAAAAAGACCTCCCTTTTCTGGCTAATTCCTTAGATTATTGGTTGGAAAAAAAAAATTCAGACACTTACGGATCTGACACGGGATATGTATAAATCTATGGGTGCCGGGCTGTCTCATCCCGGCACCTGACACAAACAGACACTTTTTTTTTTTTTAAAAATCCACACAAACTTATTTTTAAGTTTGTGTCAGGTGCCGGGCTGTCTCAGCCCGGTACCTGACACACATTCTTTGTCACCGAACTTTTCTTAAAAACCAAAAAAAAAAAAAAAAAATACCAGTCAGCAAAATTCACTCTTTCAATTCTTAGCGTACGTGACTCCAACATTTCCACTAGAATTGCTAGGGTTGAAACAAAATTCACCACTTAGGGTTTTTTGGTGAACCCACAAGGGAAAGAACAGCATGGGGCGGCAAGGGAGAAATATGAATGGTTCAAGGCAACTCTTAACATCCGCGAGAGTCGAGTAACTTTTTGAAAAGGGGCTCAACTTTTGGACAATGAAAAAATAATACCAATGAAAAAGTATCAAAAGCATTTATTAAGTATTTAGGAGCAATTTTAAAGTGAAGTTTTTTAATCTTGATGATCGGGCTGGAGGATGCTACTTTTGATGATTTGGACCTGTTACAAATTGAGCATAAGAAATAGGCGTTAATCATAATTAATTTCCTTAGAATATATATCATTTTTCACTTTAGCTTCTAACAACGCCTCCGTTTGGATTAGCTGTTTTTGGGTTTGTTTTTCAAAAACACAATTGTAGCATTTTGAATATGAAAAACAAGTCCGTTTGGATTAGTTGTTTTTGGGGTTGTTTTTCAAAAACTATATGAAAAACTTTTACTATAGATTTTTTTGGATTATTTTTAGAGGTATTTTTGAAACATATTTTTGAGTATTTTAGAATATTATAATTTTTATATTTTTATATAAATATACATTTATGCATTTATAATACATTTATATTTACAAATGTATAGATGTATATTATTATAAATGTATAAATTATAAATGAATATTATATAAATGTATAAATTATAAATTATAAATTATAAATTTTATATTTTAATATAAATATGCATTTATGCATTTATAATACATTTATAGATATTTATAAATAAATAAATTTATATATTCATATAAAAATATATAAATGTATTATATTATATATAATACAAAATCTAAATATATTTATAAATGTATAAGTGTATATTATTATAAATTATAAATTATAAATGAATATTTAAATATATTATAAATTATAAGTGTATATTATTATAAATTATAAATTATAAATGAATATTATAAATGTATAAATTGATATATTATAAATATATATTAAGCTGAGATTCCACCAGCTAAGAAGCACGTAAATACAAAAGCTCTGGCGGGTCTTAGCAATACAATCAGAAGACAGGAAATTGCATGGACGAGGGGCGCATGGCTTTAAAAAGCTGTCTGGTGCACAGCTTTAAAAAAAAAAAAAAAAAAAAGGAGAATCTGTCAGGTGCCGGGCTGACAGAGCCCGGCACCTGATAACTCAATGACACAAAATTCTGTAGGTGCCGGGCTGCCAATTTTTTTTAAAAAATTTTTTTTAAAAATTGGGGTGTCAGGTGCATAGATTTTTACTCCCACCCTGTCAGATCCGTAGTTGTCCGACAGTTTTTTTTTTAACCTATATTCTGATCAATTAGCCCCCTTTTCTCTCAATTTTCATCCATCAAAACTCGTTGCATGCAAGTCCTATTGCTCGTGCAATTTGGGAATTTGGCCGACTAACAGTGGAAGCTCTTACTCAAGGTGATGCTTCAAAATCAAGAAGTCTATGAAGAGATTTATGTGGAGATTTTATGATCAAAATAAGACACTTCTATATGATATTTACTCTCTGCTGTGTTTCTCGAGCTGTTCTAGTTAGATGCTTATCAACTATCATATCTTTTTTTTTTTAACTTCTCCAAGCAGAAAATTTAAACACAAGCTAGTAGAACTAGAGAGCATCTAAAGTTCTTCACTCCTTTGAGATTAAAGATCCTCGTAGCCATGCTTCAAAACTTTGAATGGAAGGGCTCAAGTCACTCATCAATCAAAAGACTATACAGCTCCCTTGTATCTAAAGGAGAACTAAATAGTAAGTATAAATTACCAACAACAAAAATAGAGAAGATTATGTAGAAGATTTGCACCTTGTAGAAATGCATTTTGAGCAGAATACTGACTTGTATGTGTGAAGAGAATGTGTTCCTGTAACTGGGCACACCAATTTTTTTTTTTTTTTTTTTTGAAAATATTTTCTGTGAATAGCAAAGCATGCTCAGGGTGGTTTCTCATACGTTCTCAGGTTTCAATCTCACTAACACTTCCCTAAATCGGAAACATCTCAACTATACCGCCGCCACCATCGACAGCCTTTACCATGCACCACCACCTCCACCACTAGCTTCAAAATTTGAACCTTAAATTCCCCTCCTTCACCAACCCCTACTTCTCCTCCAATGGTAGCCTCTAAATACCACAGATCTGTAGCTTCTCTTCCACATTTACCGAGCCCAACCTCTTCCTCTTTGGCACTGTTGCATATGTGCTGGCCATCTTGATGCCCCTCAACCGTTGCTGCATTCCTCCTAATTAATAATCCTTGCCAATCGTGATTGGTAATTTCCTTCTTTCTTTCTTTTTGGAATCTTTTTCTGCATTTTATTTTTTGGTTAATGTACAGATATATCTGATACAGGGCTTAACTTGGTGGATTATTGCGTTTTCCTCAGAAATATTTAAACATCTTCGCCAATTGTTTTGATGACTCGCGAATTGTTCGACCAAGTTAAGATTATGCTTTCACTCTGTCTTTTAGTTTTCAAAATTCTCTAGTTTTTTATTCTGGGAAGTGTTGTTTTATATGCATTCTACAATAAAACAGGGCAAACAGAGACGATGATGTTGTTGCTGGAAATATGTAGATCATGTAATTTCTTTGACGACTAGTGCTATAATTCATCTAACATGATCTTTTATGATTACCGCATTTATACTTTTCTTTTTAATTTCGGAGATCATGCTATGATTTGACTTCTATTTGTATATGTGATTCTTTCTTTCTGGTCTAAAGCCTATTATTGTATTTATGGCACTAACTTTTTTTTTTCTTTAATTTTTGTAGAGAGAGAGAGAGAGAAAAGTATTGGACTGTCCATATGTAAACCTCATCAATTTTGCATCTGATGATTGGATCGATTGCAGTAAATGCAACGAAAGAAGATAGGATGTGAAAAAAGTATGCATGCCAACTCCGAGTGAAATACAAAGATGGGGATGACAATGGGAGACAAGATCTTTCCTGCAATAGAGAATTTGAAGGTAAAGCCCATGCTCTCTCAACTGGATCAAAATTTCAGCAGCCTGAAGGCAATTTCGGAATGGCCCATTCAGCCTGCTCGGAAAATTTATTCATGGGAAAATCGCCAATTTAGTCCCTAAACTTTTTTTTTCCGTCAATTTAGTCCCTATACATTATTTATAGCCAATTTAATCCCTAAACTTATATTTCGATTCCAATCAAGGAACTTAGCGGCGGCGCCACCTCATAATTTCCATCGGCTTCCAGATCTAGGAACCCAGAAGGGGTATTTTAGGGACTTCCATATTTTTCATATTTCCCTTTGACTTTCATCTTATTTCTATATGGTCTTCACCTTCAACGACACCTCCCTCTCCTCTATCACATCAGAGCGTCTACTCCGGGCTATGCAGAGCGTCTACTCCGTCCTCTGCTCCCTCAACCTCCAGGACAAGGTCTCCATCACCACTGCCCACTCCCTCGCCGTCCTCCAGACCTCCTACCTCCCCTTCGCCTGCAGGTTCCACCCGGACCTCACCCCCTGCTTGACTGCCATCCTCAACTTCCATCTCAAGACCGGCTCCCCTTTCCTCATCAATGCCTACCCCTACTTCGCCTACAAGGCCAACCCCAAGCAGGTCCCTCTGGAGTTCGTCCTTTTCCAGCCCAACTCCGGGATCGTCGATCCCGCCACCCCTACTGTATTTATTCCAGTGTAAACAATTATAATAAACCCCAGTTTCCTCGAAACTTTGTAAAAAAATTAAAGAATTTCCATCTTTGCCTCCTCATCATCGGGATGAATTATGCAGAGTTATCTCCTTCAAAAGCTTGTTAAAGTGCTGGGAAGAAGATCAATGGGGTGCGTGCCATAGCTGCTTTGGCATTGTATAATGTATAGTTCTAATATATAGTATATCCAAAGCCTTACTCATCATTACGCACCACATACAATTTGTCTGGTGCTCAGCGAAGAAGGGCCGGCTTAGATTATGGGCGCACCAACTACGAATGCTTTGCAAAGTTGAATTCCTTCAGGATTCCGCTATAGGAAACCCGCAAGCGGGTTTCAGGCTATTTAACAAATTACTTAAAAAAAAAAATTTTTTTTTACATGCAAGCTGCGTTGAGTTGCACATGCCCATCGGAGGGCCCTAGGATGCCCAGCAAACCTCCCCTCTCATCCTCACCCTTCAGGTGAGGGTTTGAGAGTATGTGTTTGATATAAATAGAACAGAAACGCAGCTTTTAGTCATTTTACATAAGGGGGAAACCCGCAAGCGGGTTTCAGGCAGGCTATTTAACAAATTACTTAAAAAAAAAAAATTTACATGCAAGCTGCGTTCTTCAAAAGGGTATTTTCGTCTATTCACTCAGGAAACCCGCAAGCGGGTTTCAGGCAGGCTATTTAACAAATTACTTAAAAAAAAAAAAATTTACATGCAAGCTGCGTTCTTCAAAAGGGTATTTTCGAGACCGGCTGGCCCTCCAAGGGGGACACCGACGAGGCCGGAGCCACTCCGGAGAATGCCAAGAAGTACAACGGCAACCTCATCAACAAGCTGGTGTGCGGGAAGAAGGGGACGCCCATGAGGCCCAACGCCGACTTGAACATCTATGTCTTCGCCCTTTTCAACGAGAACATGAAGTCCAGCCCAACCTCCGAGAGGAACTACGGCCTCTTCAAGCCGGATGACTCCTCGGCCTACTACATTGGCTTCAACAGCACCGGTCTCCTTTCCACTTCCTCCAATACCTCCACTACTCCTAGTAGTACTGGTAGTAGCAGCAGCAGCAGTAGTAGTGTTCCTCTTGGCTCCTCCTCCTCCTCCGGTAGCACCACTTCTTCCACAGCAGTAGTAGTATCATAAGATGAAAGTCAAAGAGAAATATGAAAAATATGGAAATCCCTAAAATACCCCTTTTGGGTTCCTAGATTTGGAAGCCGATGGAAATTATGCGGTGGCGCCGCCGCTAAGCTCCTTGATTGGAATCGAAATATAAGTTTAGGGATTAAATTGGCTATAAATAATGTATAGGGACTAAATTGACGGAAAAAAAAAGTTTAAGGACTAAATTGGCGATTTTCCCTTTATTCATTTTCTCCTTGTTATTGTTTTCTGTCCGATTCATTTGTTTGTAGTCAACAGTTCAGTTGCCAAATGTATATGTGTGTATCTGCCTCTGTTGGGCCCCTGTCAGAATTGGGCGCTGGAATTGTGTCCAGTTCTACATTCTTCTACGAAATAATCACATAATTGCAGTTCAATTCTGACAGAGTCTACAGACTAGGATTTTTTTTTTTTTTTTGGACATGGGAGGTACTTACGCCAGACTAGTCCCCTTATGTTAATACAGAACCCGCTCTAAGGATGCACCACACGGTAGCCAACGGGAGTCAACCTGGTGACCTTAGGATAAAGACCCAAGGGAGGTACAAACCAAGATTGAATTGACGGTTTTTTATTTTTTATTTTTTAAATTAAAGAGGACTAGGACTAATTAGATATTTGGTTGTACAACTAGCTTTGATGGGGGAATTTTGGAATATAGGGTAGACAGGGATACAGTAAATTGTAAACTTAAACACCAAAAGCTGTTTGATCAATGTTGCTATTCCTACACTTGCTATGTTGAGTCCCCATTTCATAGAGGTAATGAGCATTTCTCTAATTAGCTCAATTCACGGTAGTTTAAATCTAAGCATTAGATTGAGAGCAAAGCTTCGAACAAAAGTGATTAAGCATAGCATGGCACGGATATAGCTTAATTATTCCTTTTTAAGGATTCAAGAATTATACTATAAATAAAAGAGAGCACAGAAAGACGGCAGTATGTTTTGTACCCGGCTTGATTGAAACAAAGAGCCACACCACATACATGGAAAATTGTTTGTCTAAAATAGAGTTTTCTCATTTTAAGGCTTGTACTAACTACATTTGATTTGACTTCTTTTTTGCAATAACGATAATATTTCTATAACGTAATCTATCCTAATTTAGAGGAAAGGGAGGCTAAAGAGGCTATGTATAAGGGGTTAGTAGGTATAAAAATCTGACGAGGTAAAAAGAGTATTCTAACACCCTTTTTGACTTCTTTTTTTTTTTTTACAGTCTCTTAATGTGCTAAATATGTTATGTGCTCAAATTAGATTTGACATCTACTAAACGCTTCCATACTTACAATGCTAGTTGAATCAGTTTTTTCATTCCACTTGTCCATGGTCTTCACCTCCCAATTCTCTGCTTCTGTTTGGGATGACTAAACTTTACGTTACAGGATTATTATTTATGAGTCAATTTTCTATGCGCTGACAGTGTATACACTGTCATGGTTGGATATACGATATGAGGATGCTCACCTTGGCCACCCGCATGTCCGAGGTGAACCCACCTCGTCCCTCATCAGAGCTCATCCGTGTCTTGGGCATAACCCCTGAGCTCGGCCGGATCCCTAGTCTACCGTGTAGGTGACCTCGGCACCTCCACCTCAGCTGCACGCTGATGATGTCAAGCCACCTGACATCACCCGTGACCAGTGCTTTATCTGAAAAGCACTGGAGGCACTTAATGGCACCTGCACAATACTCTCCGTCATCATGCCCAGAAGGCTACAGTGTCAGGGTCAGGTTTCCTGACAAGGGACAGAGCCGTAATGCCAGAGAGTGGGTCCCACTAGCACGGGCCTTCTGCCCTGTCCTCTACTCTCCTTCTATAAATACCTCACACACACTACCAACAAGTAAGCAGACTGTTTATTTGACAATACTACTGCTTTTCTCTCGTTCTCATACTAACTTGATCGTCGGAGTGATCCCAGGGGAGAAGCTCCGCCATTCACTTCGGACACGAGGATACACCTCACTTCATCTCAGAGGAGCCTGATTCTGGTCGGTTCAGCTACCCACCAAAAATCACCTCTTCACGATACATATGTAAAATTTGAGTTTTAAATTCAAATTCGAATTATATGTCATATATCTAATGGTGAAAGTGTATACACTGTCAGTATATAGATGATTAATCCATTATTTATTAGTATGAAACACTTCCAAAATAGATTGAGATTCCATTAACTGAATATATTCTACCATGCCATACTATTTGGTACTAAATTTTGAGTGCCATTAAAGGGCTTTTTGATCATTGTTGGTATATCAATTTTATTTGCACATGTAAAGTTTGAGAGATGATGAGATGAAGTATTCTTAATTAACTTTTACTACTGACTTTTAGTGCGCAACTCGTAAGCCCTGACCCTAATATTTATTGGAGATGTCGGTCACCAAAATCGTGCAGATGTCCAAAGGTGAGGGTGTCCAGATCGGAGACCAATAATGACACTGGAGAACGAGACAGAGGTGATTGGAGCATCGCGTCCATCGTGGTAATTCCTTTCCACTTTTCGGCACATGAGATCCTCGGCCCCCTCATCAAGCCCCTTGCTCGGCCTCATCACTGTAATTTTGCCACCTGGCTTAATTCACACGATCTTTTATACTCTCATAACATCTCAATTTGCAACTTGAGGGTGCTCACCTCGGCAACCCCCATGTCCGAGGTGAACTCACCTCGTCCCTCATGTGAGCTCGTCCGTGCCCCTGGGCCTACCCCCTAAGCTCGGCCACATCCCCAATCTACCGTGTAGGTGACCTCGGCAACCCCACCTCAGCTGCACGCTGATGATGCCAAGACACCTGACATCACCCGGGATCAGTGCTTTATCTGAAAGCACTGTCGCACTTAATGACTACTGCGAAGGACTCCGCGTCACCCTGTCCAGGCGGCTACAGTGTCAGGGTCAGGCCATCTGACAGGGAGCAGAGCCGTAATGGCAGGGCATGGGTCCCACCGGCATAAGATCTCCATCCTGCCCTCCACTCTCACCCTATAAATACCCCACAGACTCCCAACAAGTAAGCACACTGTTCATTTGACAATACTACTGCTCTTCTCTCGCTCCCATACTAACTTGATCGTCGGAGTGATCCCAGGGGAGAAACCCCGCCATTCACTTCGGACACGAGGATACACCTCACTTTATCTCAGAGGAGCCTGATTCTGGTCGGTTCAATTACCCACCAAAAATCGCCTCTTCACAACTCCTAAAGACCGAGGGTAAATTTTCTCCCCATTTACATAAACATCCTGCAACCAAAATTCAAATCAAGATAAGAGTATCGGATAAAAAGGATTTGCATGTCTAATTGACATCCTTATTCTCAAACTTGATTCAACTTCCTTGGCTTCAAAACAAATATCAGATCTTAGAAAGGTCAAAATTAATAATCTTCAAGCACGGGAGCACGGCAATTCGAACAAAACAAAATTGAGTTGATGGCAAACATCATGTAGCAAATTAATGGGTATTGTGATTTTAATCTGATAGGAAATTTTAGGCATAAGACCGCTCAACTTTTAAACAATCGCGAGCGCAAAGCCCAATAGAAACTGGGTCTAACGCTAAACGAAGCCTTTTTTCTTTTGTTTATAACAAAACATATTTCATTAACGGATTGCTGGAAATCGTTCAACATGATTTATATATATCGTTGCTCTAATGATAGATAAAACATACACTAAAATTGTAGATCTATAATTTAACAGACACAAAAAACCTGAGAAATTAAGAATATATCTAAAAAGTGTCATCAATTTTAAAATCATCTCCTCATATAATAAATCGCTACAGCCTACTTTGTACATGTTGCAATCATCAGATCTGCTAATCAACAATTGTAAGTTTCAATAAAAATGATGAGATCTGTCTACATAGACACAAATATGAAATGAATTCAGATCTGAAGTAAATTCAAATTTAAACAACAAATTAAAAAATAACACAAAATCTCATTAGGAACCAATGTTTTAAAACCCGGATAGTTAATTGAACCAACAAGGTATTCAGGTCAAGGTTCAACTGGTCAAACAGGTTCAACTCTGGTTCAATGAATTTTTAAAAAAATAATTTATATAAATATATATGTTCAAAATAAGGCATGCAATGGACTAATTTAAGACTTTATATGACGAAAAGTTTAATATTTTCAAATAACTTGGATTTTCACAAATAAAAATTTTAAATTATAAGTTGCAAAAAATAAAATTTATCTTAGTCTCAATTGTATCTATCAAAAAATAATCTTAAATCCAACCCAAAAATGCCACAAGATTCTAAAATTATACAAAATTCACGTCCATGGGAATTAGACATTGCCAGTTTAAATTTTGAATTCACATTTTTGGGATTTAGATATTGTAACTTAAAAAAAAGTTTGGAGTTTAGAGAAAGTTAGGAAATAGGAAATAGAGATGCGAACTTAATAAGAGACAAAAAAGAGAAGAAAGTAAGTGGATGGGCATTTAATAATTAGTCTTTAGGGTTAAAGAAAATCTATCCTTTTTTATATATATATTTTTTTCAATTTAATAGACAAAAACAAAAAATCACCAGTTCAACCATGGTTCATACCGATTTTTAAGTCCAATCAACTTGAGGTATGAACCGGACCGAACCTATGATCTGTTGGCGGTTCGATCAGTCGAACTGACTGGTTCGGTCCGATTTTCAAAACAATGCTAGGAACTCCTAAGAGAACAAAAATTTATCATTAGGAAGCTTAGGAAAAACAAAGATCTCCCATTAATAAAATTTAGGGGAAACTTTATTAAAAAAATTACAAAAACGAAACCTATGGGAGGAAGACTAGGAAAAATGGCCTCCCGAAAAGGAAGAGATTAGAGAAAAGGAACGGTAAAGAGAAGTTGGAGAAGAGTAGCTGTGTCTATGCATGCAAACGGGCTAAACAAAGCCTTAAATAGGATTTGCAGATGATGTCAACAATTGCCGCAAAACATGGGTTAAAAGCTTTAAATTGGTTTCGT